TGCTAAACTGGGTATTCACTTTTTCAATTGGAGTAAGCTATCAGTCCAGCTCAGCTTAGTTATAACATGGGATTTCACCTTTTGAGAAGTAGCAGTGCAGTGTACTGGCTTGATTCCAAGCCATCATTCAAATAGCTAAATGCTGATGTGTATGGCATATGTGTCCTGATACTGCAGGTCTTAAACCAATCAGCTATCACAGAGAAAACTTCAGCAACTGACTGTTTGCTATTTTACAGTATGAAAGCACCATTCCAGGAAACAATGGTGCAGTGATCAGTCTGAATTTTTATACCTACAGTGTCGAACCTTTCCTCTTTAGCAGTGGAATAATTTTGTTTAGTTTGCCTGCAAAGAAGGTATACATCCTTTATGTTAATTAAATTCCTGGAGAGATGGAGATTGTGTCCTCCTCCAGAGTTGCTGAGCTCATACCCAAGAGTGCAGGCTGGGGCAGGCTACAGAAAGGCAAAGAAAACAGACTGGGAGACAGAACCTTGCAAAGGATTTGGTTGGAACAAATCTAACAGAAGACATAGAAGTGATGGAAAAAGAAGACAAGTAGAAATTATGTGAAATCCACGCAGCCTGACAAGTCACTGAAAGCTGGTGGACTAGAAAAGAGGACTAGGGGAAAGAAGCCGTTTTGGATGAGGCACAGAGAGCGTTTTGCTGATGAGTACAGCCAACAATTATAAGTTACCTGAAAAGTTATCACTTCCTTGCATATTGGTTTATATTCTAATAAAGAATATTTTTAGAGATAGAAGGCTTTTGGATTGCTCACTATAAAGAAAAGGTATGGCATGACCAACTGCAGCCTTTGATTAACAGGAGATCCTTTCAATACCTACACACTAAAGTAAAGCTGTGGCTGACCAGAAAGAACAGGACAGGGATGAGGATAATTTTCATTCAAGAACTGCCTTTGTGCTGTTTGATCCCATAGCTCATGGATGTTCAAACTTTTGGCTTGTCCAGGCTGCACTGAGTGAAGAGGAATTGTCTAGGGCTGCATATAAAATATATAGTATTGTTAATGTATATAAGTAACAAAACTTTTTTTTGTTTTATATTTTTTATGAAAACATAAAAAGAACAAAAAAAGCCCCACATAAAATTAACAGGATATTTGATCTTTTTTGTGTGCGTGTGCGTGAAACTGACGTATCTGGTTCAGTAGCAGCAGTAGAAATTCTTACTGACTTCTCAAGATGTTTATCAGATTTTTGATGAAATTTTACCGTCCTATTGCTTCATCCTTGAAAATAGTTGCTCACAAATGTATGTACTGCCAAAAAGTGATGACACAAATAAGATGTGGTTGTGAAGTGATGGTTATTTTTGTCTGGTAAGAGAGGGCTTATAAAGGTCTGGGAAAGAGACCTGATCAAAATTTTGACTTGAATATTTGATTACAACTCTATACACTCCATTTGAAATTTCACATACAAATGCATTTATGTCAACTGAAAATGGAGTTGCAAGTATAAAAAATGGATTTTTTTTGTAATCTTGGAACATTCTTCTGAATACCTTCATCAAAACGGAAAGCATGGCTGATCACAGGACTGTGTTCAGCCAATGTACCAAAATGCATAACATTATTTGCCATCTCTCGAGTCAGCACTGCACTGTGTTCCATGTCCTGCTTTCAGACCAGACAGTGCTGCTTGCGCAACGCAGTGTGGTTGTTGTGAATGATGGGTGTGCAGTCAGGGCTGGGCTGCTTAGTGGGGCAGAGCTGTTGCCATGATGCTGTGGGGCAGGGGCAGGCCACAGGGTGGGATGGGCTGGGCAGTGGATGACCCACAGGCTGTGGGTAAGACATACCTGCCATAACTATTAGCAGACTAATTGCAGAGCATATATATGCTTTAGTCTGTGTTTAGATAAAGCTAATTCTGTGGTTATGAATAGAAAGTCTTAATATGTCATTAGACTATGTCTTAGCTTGAAACAGAAGGAAAGGCAAATCCTGTTTTTATCAGAAACTGTTAAGAAAATGTATGACATTGTTCTTTATAAGCTCTTGTTTTGTAAATTATCATCAAGTATTAATCATACAATAGCACTGTACCTCCACGTGGCTGACAAGCAGAGCTAATGAGTAAAGGACTAGCAGAACCTGGCCACACTAGTTCTGGGTCTAGGTATTCATACTGGATAGGCTCTGCAGTTATGCCTTGCTCCTTCACCATTTTCTCCCTTTCTCTTTCAACTCAACAACAGACAGCCAGAATTTTTGATAGCTTTAGGAGAATACTGACAGGGTCATAAGATATGATAAAACCTAGTAATATGTTTCTATTCTACAGAGGAAAAAACATCTTCCTTACTCCACTTTGAGAAGAGGTTTTCAGTCAATATAGAAATAGAAGTCAACCAAACCTTTAACCATTTTTGGCACACACATCCTTCTTCAGTAAAGGAAGTCTAAAGGTTAAGATTCTAGCAACATACATGACAAAAGAAGAAATGCAAGAAAGAATGTATACAACTTATGTTTATGTAAATGCCACTTACCTATACTCCAGTAATGAAAGAGGACACTAAAGTGAAAGCAGTTTAACATTATGATATTTATATTTTAGTAGGCAGATGCATGTAAGAATAAGCAAATATATTTTTTACTAATTAATCTGTTCTGGAGAAAAAAACATTTGTCATATTTAACAAGTTACAGGGGAAATCAGAACCTTCTACAGATTTACCATCAACCTAAAATTGTACTTACATATCACCTAACGGATTTTAAGCTGACTCATGAGGCTTATCATTTCAAAATTATGGTACCTGACTAATTCTGGGGTGACTATGACAGAAAGGCATAACAGAAAGCACTACTTTTGTTCCCTTTTTCTTTCCAGTCTTGAAGTATGCACGCTCATTCTGGGGAAACTGCCCAACACAATAGGCCACCTGGGAGATGCATAATTGAAAGACCATTAAACTGATATTCCTATAGGATGTACATGAAAGCGTACAACATCATGCAAGATTGTCTTTCCTGGTACACATTGCAAACATTATCCAAAAAAAACCCCAACCATCTCAGCCCCAACATATAGTCTGTTTGAATGCATAGGTTTGCTTAGTCATTTTTAGATGAGGTCAGCTGTACTGATGACATGACTCAGAGTTCTGAGGCAATTGGCCTTGTTAAGCTGGCAGGGGAAACACTTTGTTCTCCAGTTTTCAGAGGCATTCATAGAGCTCACATGCAGAAGCCACCCTGACAGAAAAGGCTATTTTTCAGTTCCTTTTGTGGTAAAATAATCTGATTTTAAAACACACACCTCACATTTTCTTGAAATGACATTTAGCAGAAAAAACTCATCATTTAAAACATCTTCAGTGTAACAGTGTATCAAAGAATACTAAATAACTGAATTAAGACAACAAGCATTTGTAGGGCTGGTGTGTAATTTATGTGTCAGAAAACTGTGAATAATTAGCACTTTTCGTTTTCAGCAGTGCTTGGAAACAGTAGCTAATAAATTCCGGCAGTAATAAGCAGCAGAAAACTATGTATTATTTCTATCATTTAATGAAAATTATAAGTGGATGGTTTACTATCCTGCCCCACCAATTTGCCTCTTCTACCAGAAAAAAAAAAAAAAGCCTATCAGAATTACACTTCAGTGAAACCTCATTCAGTAGAACCTTCATTCTAGTGCTTAGTTTTAGGGATGTCCTACTGAAGTTCAATATTTTAGCATAAATAATGCTGTGAAAACATAGCTGGATCACGGCAATCATACAGATCCATAATCTCTGTATTTACCCACAGATACGGGCCATATTCCAAGAGCAGTTTCAAAGAGTAAACTACAATACTTAATTCCCACCTAAATCAGACAAAATTAATTTCCTTTGTAAGAAGATATCAGCATTGCGTTCTGGAATAATAGGCCTAAAGAGCTACTAATCTCATCTGAATCAGAAGAGATCCAACAGATATAACCATGACTCACCACAAAGGCATCATTACTCTTATCCATCCATTTTCCCCAGGTATTTGTCTGACATGCTGTGATTCAGGTCATTTTATGATGCTGCACTACCTGCAGAGTCGCTCATTTTAAGAGAGAAAAAGAACTAAGAAATATCCTGGACTGGATCTAAATACTGTACAAATCATGAAGACTGAGAATAAGCTTTCTTTGCCTGCCATAGTATAGTCAGCAAATCCACGATACTAATTGTAGCAACTCAGCCATATTAAAAATATTCTTTTCTAAGTGTTGAATTTTTGTAGTGGTTCCATGATGGAAGAACTGTAGCAGGAAGCAGGAGAGCTGTAAGATAATCTCACATTTTTTAGGTGTCTAATAAGAGGATAAAGAATGTGTTCAATTAAGGAAAAAAGATAAATATATTTCCTGCACTTCTCATGACAGTAGACAGTACCTTAGGAAAAGGGGTATCTCTTCCTCCAGTACAGGAAAATGAGATCAGTTTGTATCCCTGCTACCTGTCAGGACAGTAGAAATCAAAGGCTTTCTTAGGAAAGACTGCCAGTAGAGAATCTGATCCAAGTGACATAAGCAAAGACAAAGTAGGTTACAAACCTGGAAAAGTGGCAACTTTACAGAGATTGAACAGAGACATATGGCTAACAAGAGGCAGGAAGCAATTAAATGAACGCTACCAAAAAATGTTTGAGCAATGAGCAAAGAGTTGAATACATATGAATAAGATTTGATCTGATGAAATCAATGTGCTGGAGCATGCTCTTCTTGCAGTATCTCTCTCATCCAATAAGATAAGTCCCAGTGGGAAACATGTTGATAGAGCAGCAGACTGTAATAGCCCATTGGCTCCACAGTCCACAGCTGTAATAGCAGATGACAACTTATGGATAAGCAAAGGAAGGACCTCACTCCAGAATGTAACATTACTGACATCCCCTTGAAGCACACAAGAGAACTCCAAGGCCATACGTGGCATCCTTGGACACCTTTTCATACCTCCTTCTCTTTCCTTGTCTCCTCCAGGAATTCACAGACTGTCAGCAGATCTGGGTCACAGCACTGTGATAACCTGCCCTAACAAAACAAATATAACTATGGTAACATGGAAAACAAGCCCCAAGGCTGGAGTCCAATGCATCTTGGCATACTTGATTGATAAGAACAAGACAGAAAAAACCAACTGCAGTGACAGAATAAACTGGAGATCCAGACCAGACTGGGATCATGCACTTGAAATCCAGCAAGTAGTAATGGCTGATGAGGGAAATTACACCTGCGAAGTGGTAAATGTGGATGGGAATTTCCACAGCCTGTATCACCTGACTGTGCGAGGTAAGGGTCTCCTTCCTCATTTCATTGTTCTTCAAAGGACCGTGTCCAGGCCTGGATAAACAAAACTTCTCTCCTTGTGCATGGGAGGAAGTGTCTGGTAAGAAGAGGAGCTTTCTCATGCCAATAAAGGGTCATGCATTTCATTTACAGTAACTCTGCTTCTTTCCTTTCTTTATTTGCCAAAATTCTTCTCTCTTCTTCCTGTAGAGTTACAAGTGACAGGTGTGAAGCAATTTTCAAGACACAAAAGAATTTTGCATGAGCAACATGTTATTTTGTAGTAACTCAGTAATACATTAATTTTTCTAAAGCATATAAGATAAACACCTGAGAGTACCAAGATTTTCTATCAAACACATTATGTTAGTACTCAGATAGGAAGAACAGCATCATTTCCTCCTCAGTTGGCATTCCAATCCATTTTGAGCCATGACTGTGATGACTCTTGGGACAAAAGACTAATTCAGCCCTGTATTCTTGGGAATCCCCTACCTCCATGTCCAGGGATACCTCCTCTCAGGGCACGTGGCCATGGTAACTCACTTGAATTTATGTCCAGAATGAAAAAAGATACACTATCTTTGTCTCCTGTGGCTTTGGAACACATTGCTGTGATGAGATGCCACTTCCATTTCTCCTCTTCTCATTTGGCTCCCTTTGGGTAGTCAATACAAACCTTCTATCCCACTGCAGCAACTCACATGCATCTCCCCCTTTCTGGAACTCTGCAGTTTCCCCAAGAATGGCTCTGTACTGCGATGACCACGGGAACCCTGTGTGCGAGGCAGAGACATTGAAGCCGGCTGCCGAGATCTCGTGGGTCCCAGAGAGCAACTCCACACTCAGAACAGACAGTCACGATAACGGGACAGTGACAGTTCTCAGCAGGTTTGCAGCACATAGCACCAACGGGAGGAATCCTACCTGCATTGTGTCCCACGCAACTCTGAACGAGACCAAGTCCATAGACTGCTCCTCATGTAAGATTCCCTTTGTTTGCTCAGTGTTCAAAGTCCTGTTTAGCCCTCTGTTCACATTCTTGCTCTACAGCTACAGAAACCTACAGTCAAATTCTATACAGATGAGTGACATCCCATACCACTTTTGCTCATAATCTTTGACACTTTGTTTGCATTCCAGACACTATTTCCAAGTGGTTTCTTCCCTAAGAGGGAAGTTTTTTGATGCATTAGTGTTCTTCTGGTATTTGGAAAGATGTAGGAAGCAGCATCAGGGCAGACATGCTCTTAATGATAAAATGCAAATGATCTCCTGCTCGGATCATGGTAAGAGAGAGAAAGAGACCCAACTACCATATATCTAGCAGAGACAAACAAATCACTTCATTCTGAGTTGTGAATATCTGACACAGTAAGATGACTGGTTTCTGCTTTTTGGTTTGGATTTTTTTTCTTTAATTGGACAACTGCACATGAACTGCAATATGGAGGTATGCTGAGTCCTTGTGAGAGGCTCATCCACAACTTAGTGCATAAATGTCATGACTTGTCCACTGTGGAATTTGGGCCATCTGCTTTTGTTTCTGACACAAACTATGTTTTTATTTCTCAGATAGCTTTCATTAATGACTTTCCTTTTTGCTGAAGAGGATTATATTTTACAAGCATGCTGAAAACGTACATGCTAAAGCAGCTTTAAACTTACACTGAAATATTAAAGAAACAGAGAAGTAAGAAGACATAACTAAGACTAATTCATTGTGTTTAGCACACAGATATCTTATCCTGTGTATAGCCATCGTTCTTGGTTTCCTGATCATCATCATCTCTGTGGCTGTCATGTACTATTTAAAGCTCAATGGTTACAGGTATGTACAATATGGGGCTAAGGAAAACTTATCTGGTGTTAGCAGAAAGCTTTAAATACTGTTTGTGTCTTGAAATCAAATGATTCTGTCTCTCTGTGCTGCTCATGGTAACCACTATGGGTGAATTAACTGTATCAAATATTTTGACTTTCTACTGCAGTAATTCTGCATTGCACGCATCTTTACTGAATAATGCCACTGAGTAAAACATAGATGGTTAGATGTTGGCAAGCTATACTCATTATACTGCATGCTGCACTGAATGGAAACTCTTCATTCTGTCAGGAAACTGGCTGAGTATTCTTCAGGTACTGTGAGAGCCTGTCAGTGTCTCTCTTGTTCAGATCAGAGGATTGGTTTCTCTTCCACTGAGCTTTATCAAGTGCCAGAGGATTCATCAGTGCCATCCTGCCATATCAACTGATGGGACAGCAAATTTTATACATATTTTGAAGAAGCTCTCTGGGTGAAGCTGGACTCTACACCCTTTAGAACTTGGTGTGGAGAAGCAAGCAGTCCCATGGAAAAAGAATATAAAAATTGTTTGTACAGATAAAGGCTAATTAGCACTTGACTGAACACTCCTGATAAATTCTCTCTGTCTCCTATTCCCAAACTGGCTTTTGTCTCAACTTTCTCCCAGAGATGAATAATTAGTTCAGTACAAATTCACTAAGGACAAATTGTGCATACTTTCAGAGGATTTTGATTTTAATCTGCTTCCACTTCATGTTTAAGCTCTCAAAAACATCAGAGTACACCTGTAAACAAAGCCAGGGTACTTCAATTTCAGGATCAAAAGTGAAGGACAGAAAGCATGACAAGATTTTTTAGCTTTATTCTTGATGACAAGTAAGAAAACTATTTTATAAACTTGTGATCAAAGAAGCTCAAAAGCCCCTTCAGTCAAGCCTGCTATTGAGGAAGAAATTTGTTTTAATGCTTATTTTCTTTCTCACAGATTCTGTCACACAACCAAACCACCTGATATTGTTCCTACATATTCCTTGCAGGTAAGGAGATTAGACCATCAATAAATCAGGGATCTTCTAATAGCCCTGAAAACATGGTCAAGTAAGAGAAACCATAAGATTATTATTAATTTTTTTTTTCAGTAGGTAATATTATGTCATATACTTTTGAATTTAGCTGTATCTCAGTACAAAATAGCCTATCATCACCATAATTCTGACATGAAGCAAATATTAGCAGCATGTTTCAACAGTAAAAACTCAACAACTGCCTTTTTTTATTATTTTAGGATCAAGTCCCACAGCATCTTTCTGGTCATATTAGATATGCTGATCACAGCTGTTGTACTAACAATACCCAGGAAGGGGGGCAATTTTGTGGATTGGGGAATACTAAGAAAGATTGTAAATAAAATGATTAAACAACAAAACAAACACAGGAAGAAAAAAAAAATCCTGCCATTCAGAATGAAAACATGCAAGTTGTGAAGGTTACTCTTTATTTTGAAAGGTCAATCCACAGAGCCTACTATACTCAAGACATTTCCAAAAAACAGTGGAAAGAGGACTTAGCTGCAATATGGGAGATATCCTCGAATTCCCTAGTCTGTTACAAACTTAACACTAAGCTGAAAAATTCACTCATCAGCTATAAAAAATTCACTCTGTATCTCTGCTTTTTGCTACCAAATTTAATAACATTAAACATATTTCCATGCACAGAAGCATGTGAGACATACATATTGTGCTTATCTATGTACCTACAGCAGACTCAAGGCTCAAATTCTCTCATTTTTAAAGTACTTTAGATTTCTGAAATGACTTAGCAAATTCTAGCTATTTTTGTTCTTTATCTTCTGCTGCCCTGCCTCTTAATTGTTGCTGACAGACACAATTTCATTAATGTAAAATAATCAGTTACATACCTGTCCTCGTCTCGGCACACTTTCATTAGTGCAGACCCTACTTAGTTATCATAGAATCATAGAATCACGGAACAGGTTGGGTTGGAAGGGCCCTTCAAGATCATCTAGTTCCAATCCCCTGCTATAGGCAGGGACACTTCCCACTAGACCAGGTTGCCCAAAGCCCCATCCAGCCTGGCCTTGAACACCTCCAGGGTGGGGATGTCCACCCTATCTGAGCAACTTGTTCCAGTGTCTCACAACCCTCACAGTAAAGAATTTCTTCTTAACATCTACTCTAAATCTATCCTCTTTCAGTTTAAAGCCATTCATCCTTGTTTTGTCACTAAAAACCCATACAAAACATCCCCCCACAGTTTTTTCCTGCATATCCCCTTCAGGTACTGGAAGGCCACTTTACGGTCTCTCCAGAGCTCTCCCTTCTCCATGCTGATCAGCCCCAGCTCTCTCAGCCCCTCCTCCTTAGGGGAGGTTCTCAAGACCTCTGATCATCTTCATGGCCTGCCTCTGGACCCTCTCCAAAAGCTTGATGTCCGTCTTGTGTTGGGGAGCCCAGAACTGGGCACACGACTCCAAGTAGAGTCTCACAAGAGCAGAGCAGAAGGGCAGAATCACCTCCCTTGACCTGCTGGTCATGCTTCTCTTGACGCAACCCAGGATATCCTGCCTTTGTGACACCCCATCTGGAGTACTGTGTCCTGGTCTGAGGCCTCCAGTACAGGAAAGATGTGGAGCTGTTGGAGAGGGTCCAGAAGAGGACCACTAAGATGATTAGAGGGCTAGAGCACCCATCCTATGAAGATAGGCGAGCTGGGAGGGAGCTGGGCTTGTTCAGTCTGGTGAAGAGAAGACTGCTGAGAGCAGGCTGCCTCTAGGCAGCCTGGTCTAGTGGTTGGCAATCCTGCCTGTGGCAGGCGGGTTGAAACTAGATGGTCTTTGAGGTCCTTTTCAACCCAGGCCATTCTATGATTTTATGATTCTATGAGACCTCACTGCACCTTTTCAGTATTTAAAAGGTAATCATAAAAAGGAAGAGAATCAACATTCACTTGAGTAGCCAGTGACAGAACAAGGGGGAATGGTTTTAAGCCCCATGAGGGAAGGTTTAGATTGGATGCTGGGGGAAGTTCTTCACAGAGAGAGTGGTAAGGTGCTGGAACAGGCTGCCCAGAGAGGCTGTGGATGCTCATCCCTGGAGGTGTTCAAGGCCAGTTAGATCGAGCCCTGGGCAACCTGGTCTAGAACCAGATCTGGAGGTTGGTGGCCCTCCCTGGGGCAGGGGAGTAGGAACTTGATGAACCTTGGGGTTCCTTCCAACCCAAGCCATTCTATGATTCTATGATACAGTTGGCCTTTTGGACTGCTGTGCACACTGCTGGCTCATGTTGAGTCTTTCATCAACCAACATCCCCAAACCCTTCTCCTCAGGGTTGCTCTCAAGCCATTCCCCGCTCAGCCTGTATCTGTGCTTGGAATTGCCCTGACCCAGGTGCAGGACCTTGCATTTGGCCTTGTTAAACTTCATGAGGTTGGCATGGGCCCACCTCTCATGACTGTCCAGGATTCTGGATGGAATCACTTTCCTCTAGCGTGTCAACTGCAAACTGCACAACTCAACTTATTTGTTCTTTCTAGAGAAAGAGACTCTAATATAAAAATTTCCAGGCAAAAATAAGGGAGTGAGAAGAGGAAGAGAATGAAGAGGAAAAGAAATCACAGGAATCATTGCAGCTTTACCCATCAAATCTTTGAAAGAAATCTTTGAAAGCAACATTGTTTCTTCAGTAGAAAAATCAAAAGAGGGTAGTTGGGTTGGGTTTTTGGTTTGCTTTGCTTTTTTTTTTTTTTTTTTTTTTTTTTTGGAGTCAAAGGAGGAATTAGAATGGGAGAGTTATTTCTCAGTTAATTTCTTCGTTCCAGATGAAAAGCTTGCAGAGACTTGTCAAAATAAACTACTTCCTGTATTCACAATTATTGGTTTTGTTTTACTAGGATGACACAGTGGAGGTGGAACCGTATACTACTTATGTGCAGAAGGAAAACGTGATTTACAACTCAGTATCTGATCTGACAGTGAGGCAGAATCTTCCACAAGGACAGTCACCAGCAACATGAGTGATTCAGCAACACTGGAAAGCGGAGAGACAATTTCTATTACTAAGATGATTCACAGAAAGAAATTTCTCAAAGCATTTTGCCAAAGTGGGAGGCAACATAGCTCACTAGGTCTCTTTAAAGACCTGTGTTTATTGATGAGTCTGCATAGTTTTTTTGTTTCTTTTTCCCCCTCTTTTTTGCCTTATTCCTTGGTAAAGGAAAGAGGTGTCCTTTTTTTCCTAGGGAAAATCTGACTGACCTCAAGACATAGTTTTTCCTGGAAAAAATATGCTACTATTTGTTTTCCCTTTGCTGTTCTTGCATTGGACATTCTAGTTTTGTTGGTCACTTCTAGGCATTACTTTGATACACTTGACACTATGTTGCACACATTTGGGAGATGTGAAGAGTGTTTAAGTCAAACACCCTTCAGTTAGCAGCCACTTTTTTCTAATTGACAAATGAGTAACATAATGGCTCTGAGTACTCATCATCACAGAACATTTTGCCTAGCAAAAAGTACCAGTAGGGAAGACCTTCAATCTCTCTGTTCTGAAAATGGAAATGAGTCACGAATTTACAAGTTCATTCACTAAAAAAAGAGACATCACTAGCATGCTGATTTAACTCGTTAGGTTTATGTTCAGTATTTCCATAAACCTGTTCATTGGGTTAGTCAGATTATTGCTTTGATTACTTTTCTATAAGATTATCTGGAGATGGGGTCTTCTTAAATGTGTTGGCATTAAGGTACTGTAAAAGAATTACGTTACTCAAATCTGGTAAGCTATTTTTTAACAGAAATTAACATCAAATATTTCACAATGAAAAGTTCAAATATATTATCTATAATTGTGCAATAATGTACTAAAAGGACAAAACTCCTGATGATTGTGGTATTTATTTTAAATACAACTGGAGATATTTTCACTCATATGTCTAGATCTTTCTTTCTTTTTTTTTTTTAATGTAACTGCAAGTCCACTTTGTTGTATGTAAATTAGCTTGTATATCTTAAGGTGTCTCACGTTAAGGTGATTTCTTCTCATCTTCCCAAAACATATTTTCAAAATAAGTAATATATAGATATAAATTAGCAGCTCTCAAGATTTTTTGACTCATGTCTTGCTAGCTAAAGTATAAACTGGTTTACAGTAACAGTAAAAGGATTCATTTGTAAATTTCTGTTTACTGCCTTTTCTTTCACTATTTGAAATGAATGAGTAGCTGGCCTGATGGTAGGATCAGAAGAACTGGATTTTTCCTTTAGATCACAGAACTCTTTCCCACACACTGCTAGAGTTCTCTTTTGAGATAGTCTCCTGAGGGCTATGACACAGTGTTTAGAAAACAGACTTCTACATTGACTGAAGTTCTTTGAATGCGTTACTCATGTAAAGTGATGTGATTATTAATTTTCACTCTATGAGATGTGAAACAGCCGCTTTTGTCCAAGTGTTCAGAGGTATGCAAGTATTGCTTTTCTCCATTTCATTATGTCATTTTGAAATACAGTGGACCAAAGCTGCAAAATGGATTTAGAGTATTGAAATATAAATCAGCTACAAACATAAAGGTCTAAATAAACTCCAATTTCCAGTGTCTTCCCAAAGGAGAGAACCAGTCAGTCATGGTCTTCTGAAATTTCCCACTTTAAATAGGTGTAATACTGTCTGAACGACCTTTCTTTGCACTGCAAACAACCACCACTTCTCAGATTTTTTCCTATGGACTGGAAAGTCGTCTATGTTGTTCAGTGTCCATAAAATGGGGTCCATCCTGTGGGGCAGCAGCTTTTCAAGGTAGATTCTTGCCAGTCTATATGCAATATATTAAATCTTTCCAAGTACAGAACCTGCTAATTTGCTGTCCAGTTGCAGGGTTTTAAGATTCTTTACAGGTCCATTACACTGGACTAAACGTGTATGATTCAGACCTAGATTTTGCTAAGTTTCTAGCTGATTGATTATTTCTTTTGTCCTCTACTTTGTTCCACCATCAGGCCATGCACTCTGAGCCAAGAGTCATGTAGGCTGTTGATGATGGCATGAATGTTTTCTGACCTGAAGCCCAGTGCAGCTAAGCAGCTAGAAGGCCCAATCAGTCAACACAGTAAATAATTTTGCCCTTTCATGTAGACAGCAAGGCACTTTTTGTGCCTAAATGATGAGCATTGTCAAGGATGCAGCCAGATTCGCTGCAGTAAGATGACAGAAAACACACTTTTGCCCATATTTTGTGACTGTAATAAATGCATACAAGCGTCTCAAGTACACATACGTATAAAATGATCTTTCTTCCAAGAAGCAACAAATCTTCCTTCCTCCATTCCTAATTCTCTATCTTGCTATTTCTCTTTGCAATGTACTGCTATTGTGCTACAGTCATCCTCCATACCAGAAGTTCTTTATCTATTAGTAGTCAGACAATCCTACCCTCTAAAACTCCCCAGCATGTTGCAGAGTCGGAAGAAAGTTAGCAGCTTTTCAACTGCTTTATAAACAAAAGCTTTGGTTTCCACCACATTTATCAATGATGAATAACCTTGTGCTGCAACATTTACTTCTGCTTAATTTTATTTCTCACCTTAGCTGCTGTATTGTATTTACACACACGCAGTCCAGTCTCTTGCTAGTGTACAACTGCCATTCCTGCTCTAATCAGGCAGTTAATAATCATGGTTATCTCATGACTATAGAGAACCCTGAACACTGAGCTTACATGCACTGAAAGTCAGCAGGTGCTGTGATGCTCACTGAAGAACAGCAGCTTCCTTCAGAATAAGTGTCTATTTTTTAAGATGACACTGACAGTATGAAAGAATGGATGCACTATAAACCTTGCAACTGATGAAAGCTGCAAAACATCAGTTATTGGGGCTCTCTAACCAGAAATTATTTCATGGGTATGGAGTCAACCCTCCACCACTCATTACAGCAATATATAAAATTTCACTAAAACACAACTTTTAGCAGAGTAGTCATTATATTACCACTTACCTGCTTCATACAGCTTTCCTAACATGATCCATTAACTGTTCAGCGCTCCATCAGGTTTCAGTACTTACAGCTCCTCTTTCTTACCAGTATCACCTCCTTGTAATTGTGGTTTACTATCCACAGTCTAGTTTTTAATGCTGACTTCCTTTCTGGGTTCACTTGTTCGGTGTGTGACTGCCCTGCTGTTCTTCCCAGCTTACTGCCAGATATGAATTAAAATGACTTCAACATCTTCTGTTTTCATCATTCTGGAAGATAAATTTAAGTTTTGACATTAGAGCTAGATATCTTTCACATGAGCACTGACATGGGCACTTAAGTGCAGATGTAGAAGGGACTTCCTTTTACATAGAGAGAGAATGACTGTATTTCCTTATACAAATCTAGGAAAATCTATTGGCAAGGGGCTGATAAATAAAGAAGTTTCAAAAAACATTTATTAAAAGAAATGCGAAAGTTCTGAAATCTTTATAAGCAGTGTAAGAAGTGACTCATATTCTACTGGTAGGGGAAGAGAAGTATGCAATGCAGTTAGTCATAACTAGAAAGCAAAAACACAGTTTGAGAGGAGAAAACAAATTCACAGAAATTCCTAAGGAACAACTACGTTACATTACTGAGCAAGTTTCACTAGTCACAACATCAGAAAGGTTTCCATAGCCTGTTCTGTTCTCCCTGACATTCACTATTGAGAAAGTATCTCCCTCTGGAAGACTAAAGGTGACAAATGTCTTTAACACATTAAATTTAAAAATAGTTACACTTCCACTTTTTCTCATTTAACCCAGATGGGACATTCCTTGGCTAGGAAACTGCATAAACATTTAGAAAGTTACCTCAGTGTTTTCCTTCGCACCCCAAACAGTGTCTTTGTGTAACTTCTGCAGTGACATCTGTTCACCAAAAATGACATTATTTGGAATATGGGCATACTGGAATTACTGTTTACTGGACAGATCAGATTGCACTGTCATTCCTTTATGGTATTCAAAATGGCTCTGTCATCATGGCCCCTTGATATAGTTAAAACTGTAAGCATTACAAGGCAAATGCTATATTTAGGCCCTGAATTTGCAATCAGATTGTACAGAGGGATCCAAATTCAAAACAGGGACTCCAACACAGTGTGAAAATATGAATAACACAAAGAAGCTGCAAACTGAGCTAGAGAGGAACTATGTTTGTCACAGATTATGACTCACGCTATCCATTTTGCTCAAACATAGATCTTGTTTGCGTACAAGTTTCCTCACTGATCGGCACCATGAATCTCACCATACAAAAAACTTGAGAATTCACAGCTGTTTCTGTCAACCACAAATTCTGCTTGGAAATAGAACTGTTTCACATATACTGAACGCAGGTAGCACCTGTATCAGCAATGCTACACAACAACATTCTAGCCTGAGTCACCAAACTCAGAACACTGCTCTAATTGTTTTAATCTTTCTAAGATTATATTCTTATCACATTGCATACCAGACTCACTTTTTTTTCCCACAGTTTCTCTCTTAGCTTCGGTCATTATTGTGTAGGTGTTAGGATTAGCTTTACCAATCAGTAATCTGTAAAACATTAATTAATTAACAAGGCCTTGGTGGGCAGATGCAAATAGTCAGCTTCTGTCTGGCAATATCAATACACTTGCTCTACAATAGCTGCACTCCAAGATCTAGGAGCCTGAGGCTGTGCCTGCTCAAGGTGCATGTAGACTGTTGATAAGTCCTTGTAGGTTTACTACAACTTATTGAAGTCAAGGCACATCAGAAGACCTACATCTCTAGGCTGAAGGCTCTTCTCCCTTACAATCTGTGTTTGTCCAACTGAAAACACAGGCTTTGTGCTGATGCTGTAACAAAACCTTCTTCTGGGGTGAGTGAGAATAAAATGTTGCTGCTGTTAAGAGGAAATTTGAAACTCAGGCTGACCCACAAAATATAAAAAGGTCTGAAAAGAGAAGTTCTTTTGATGCCCTATTTTGTCATGAGGTATCTTGGTCTTCAGCCTCTCACCAGGAAGGCAGAAGCTCATGTGTCACTGCGGTAAATGATGGGATAGAGAGGAAAGAGTGAGTTCACAGCCTTGTTACACAATGTTATTAAACTTGATTCTTCTTGATCAAAAGCTCCAGAGTTTCTTCCCTTCCTCTCAAAGTCTCACTGATTTTTTTTCTAGCTTAGCATTTTCAGGTGTTATATCCTGGGAATAAGAAACATTCCAGCTATATCCAGATGAAAACAGCTATACGGAAAAATAAGTTAAAACCTATAATGACCACTAGATGACAGTTTCACCTCATCCTCTGAAAAACACTGCCACAGGAGAAATATTCGTTCTCCATATACTCTCTCATTGGATTTGGGATTCTAGTGATTCATTTTCTTACATGTGGAGCTTCCTTTGTGACATGGAGTTCTCACTTTAAAAAAACACATTTTCCTGAGGGCGACACAATAGTGCATATAAATCAATAGTGGCATATAAGGCAACTCTGAATGCAGCAAACACAGTATAATATTCACCAACAAGCTCATTCAGAATTGATTGGTGACATCCCTATGGTATATACAAAATCACAGTTTTGTAAGTAGCTTTTTTGTAGTGTTGTAAGTTCTGATGGGATGGAGAAGAGAATGGGGAAAAGCCAGTGGGATATCTAGGGGTGGGTCATTAAAAGGCATACTGGGAGGATGGAGGAATTAATGAGAATTCAAAGGACTGCAGTTAAGGCCAGCAGGTTCTCTCCTTTTTCAGCACCCCACCTTCTCAGCCTGGGAAGGCTCCTATTCCTTTTTATTACAGGAATCCAAATCCATCTACAACCTGACACCCACTGGTCTCCTGTGACCCCACTGGTTCCCAAACCTCCTGGACTGCTCTTCTGGGAAAGAAAGCAGGTGGGTGTGAGGTTCCAGTGGAAAGGCAACAACAGACAGAGGTTTATGGCCTAACTACTCCTGTTGCTAGTAGTATCAAAAAGGTAGATCATTGACCTCAGTGCAGATAGTAAAGCAGAATGCCATCTGCTTCAATTGTTATTCAATTCAGACAATTGATGCTTATGTTCTAGGTAAAATAAACATCTGAAGTCAGCTTTGGCCAGATTTTCTACTCTTTTCCCTCAGCATACACCTGTAACCCAGAACACCACACAACATATGAAGAGATTGAATCCTATTGTGGGATCTACTGGTACCATATGTGAGCTGAGCTTAATCTCCATCTTCCAGTTTGGGAAGAGGAAAAGGAAATGGGTAGGAGACCACAGCAGACCAGCCCAGTGAATGAAAGTCATCAAAACCTGATGGAAAGCATGATGGAGAAAGTATGCAGAGGCCACATTTTCTGTCTCCATGAAAGATTAAACTGGAGAGGATCTTGAAAACTATGGGGAGTTTATGCTGTCTTTTAATTGTAGGATCTAGGCATTCCCACACTGCTATGTGTGGTCTTTCTTTCTAAAGAAAACCCTATAAAACATGGCCAAGAATTTATATTCACAAGAAAACATAAGCATAAAAACCTGGTAGGAATATTTCTGTCACCAACCCTTTGCCCTTACATCTCTATCTTTCATGGCTCTCCCACACTGAGAACCATGAATCAAATATATATATATATTTTAAAGTTTGCATCTTATTGCAGTCATATGTCAGCCCCCTTTATGTTTCTCCTTGGTAACCACCTCAATCCAAGCCATTGTCCCTGCTTTTTTTTTCCTCTTTCCTCTTTTCTGCATGCACTCAGACCTCTCAGTACTGAAATGCTGATAACAATATTAGAATTTTCATCAGCTTCCAAAATAAGGTTCCTATATCAAGTTTCGTTACAAATATATCACTAGGCACTGAAGATGTATGATGTGAAAAGCTGTATATTCAAACACAAAACAAACAGATGACAGGGCATGGTTTTATGTGATCTACCACACTCCTTGGCATGCTGTTTCAGGAAAGGGAAGTAGAAACATAGAATCATAGAATTGCTCAGGTTGGAAAAGACCTTAAAGATCATAAAGGTCCAAACGCAACCTAACTATACTACCCTAACTTTTTCTGGTAGGATTGAGAGCATAGACCTGAAGTAGAAACCTTAGAAGAAGTTATATGGCAGTGTCTTAGAGATTAATAACTGTAGGAACATGTGTTTTAGGAGTGTTTACTACTGCCAGCAGTTGCCCCTTCCCAACTCCAGAACACAAGGCAGAAGAACAACTCAACACATTACAGACCTGCTAACAAGCTGAACCTGATGTAGGGGATATCCAAACAAAGAGCATGGTACAAATGTAAGAGATGCCAGTGCCACAAGAGAGCAGCATGAGAGGTGATATGAAAGGTAGGTTTTTTGGTTTTTTTTGAAAAAAAAAAGCTCTCTGCACCACATTCACACAGTGAGGTTGATGAAAATAGGCACTCCTTGTTCTCTGGACTTAGTATTTAAAGAGCAGTCAGAATACTTTAGAAGAGCAATAATACTGCCTGCCAGTAACAGTTTCTAGCCAAGGATTTTACAGCACTTCATCATTACTTATATGTTCAGCCTCACTGACCCCCTCTAAATCATCACTGGTATTTTAAATAGACAGGAACATGAAGGGTACAATAATCAGCATCCAGTCACCGAGAACTACATTGTGCCCATTCAAAAATCACAGAATCACAGAATGGCATGGTTTGGAAGGGACCTCAAGGATCATGAGTCTCCAACCCCACTGTCACATGCAGGGCCACCAACCTCCTCATTTAATACTAGACCAAGCTGCCCAGGGCCCCATCCAACCTCGCCTTTAACACTTCCAGGAACGGGGCATCCACAACCTCTCTGGGCAGTCGCTCCAGCCCCTCACCACTCTCACAGTAAAGAACTTCCCCCTGACATCCAATCTAAATCTTCCCTCTCTCAACTTAAAACCATTTCCCCTTGTCCTGCAGTTATCTACTTCTTCAAAGAGTTGATTCCCTTCCTGTTTGTAGGCTCCCTTTAGGTACTGAAAGGCTGCAATGAGGTCATCCTGCAGCCTCCTTTTCTCCAGGCTGAACAAGCCCAGCTCCCTCAGCCTGTCGTAGAAGAGGTTCTCCAGTCCCCTGATCATCTTTGTGGCTCTCCTCTGGACCCTCTCCAGAGGGTCTCTCTGTCTTTCTTGTACTGGGGGCTTCAGACCTGGACGCAGTACTCGAGATGGGGCCTCACAAGAGCAGAGTAGAGGGGGACAATCACCTCCCTGTCCCTGCTGGCCACCCCTCTTCCAATGGAGCCCAGGATACCATTTGCTTTCTGAGCTGCAAGAGCACACTGCTGGCTCTTGTTAAGCTTTTCATCCATCAGGACCCCCAGGTCCTTCTCCACAGGGCTGCTCTCAAGGACCGCTCCTTCCAGTCTGTATGGATGCCAGGGATTCCTCCAGCCCAATTACAAAAACTTGCATTTTGCCATGTTGAACTTCATTAGGTTCACCCAGGCCCATCTTTCAAGTCTGTTGGGTCCCTCTCAATAGAAATCAGGAAAGATCAACTGCAATAGTAAAGAAAGATTGTTATAAGCACCCTCAAATCCATTTTTAAAAAGCTGACAATACCTCCAGTGAAAATGGGCATATTAATTCTAGAAGTCCCACTTTTTCCTTACGTAAAACAGGGCAATGATACTGAGCTACTCTGTGAACTGCATGGTCTTCTACTCATAATACTGTGTAGAAACTAAGCATCACCACTAACATCAAAGTGCCTCCACACCAGAGCTTGACTGTAGTTAACTGTGAATACTGCTAATCCATTTAAGAGAACAGAAAGTAAGAACTGTAATATCAAATTGAAATTGCCAAACTGAGGTCAGATGGGGAAACTTTCCCTTCGCTCCCATCCCCCTATATTTCCACCATGTCATAGAAGTGCATATAACATTCTTACAGAGAATAGTGCCGAGTTTTAAGGAATAACATTTTAAGGTCTTTTGGTATTTGATTTCAGATGTCACCTTGCTGCAAATCATTGTTTTTTCTCCATTTATTAAGTAATGCTTTCCACGGGACACTGGTTTTTATTTGCTTTTTTGTTTTCCTATGGTCTCTTCACTTCACACTGATCAGTGCTCAGCAGTGCTTGAGCTGTACAAGCTGATGAGCTCATGCCCTAAAGTGGAAAGGTTACACAAGACTCAGCTGCTAACACTCTGAAGGCTGAAATCTACAAACACTGCCACGTGTACGCAGGGATGGGAGGGTGGCTTTAAAAAGAGTGGGAAACAAACTGCAAAAACAATGTATAACATTGGAACTTTGGTTGGACGTCATCTGCTTTCATTTACCATTTCAAGCTCTACTGCACCAGCTGAAAGTAAACATTATTTCTACTCTTTATAACCATAATCATAACCATAAAACAGGACACAAAAAATCACTTAGATGACTGAATGGGAGTGAAAGAGTCTACTAAAGTATAGTAGAATAACTCAAAAGAATTCTTAAATATTATTTCAGGAAGCTATTCCTTACTACTCTACTCCTCTTATCATCAAAAGGAGAAAGAAATTTCTAGCTACTTTTAGGGGGTAGAAGAAAGAAAGTTTGTAAAAATTTCCGTGGTGGCTTTTCAGCTTATAGCCAGATTCCATTAACCTTATTCATTCCATAAAGGGAACAAATCTCAAGTCACATACAGTCCAACATATGATCTCTTAATTGCTTTTAATGCAGGAGGATTGTATTTCTCATGCCCTGGCTAAAGATCAAAAGAAAACTGTTAGGGCAGGAGGTAGACACCAAAATGTCTTTTGATGCCAGCTCTTTTTTTTTTTTCCTTTTTCAGACTTTCATCCAAAACATGCTTACTTTGGCAGCCAAACCATAGGGCCATGAAATCATAAAGAGCCACTGTCCAATTCTTACTTCTGCAAGACAGCAGACCCTGTTCTAATCCCTGAAAACTGCAGCTATTTTGATCAAAACTCTTTTGCCAAACTATGAAATCTTTTTAAATTGTTGCTGTTGCTCTGTCATCAGGATTTGGAGGTGTTCAGGAGACATATTTCTCCCAAAGGCTTTTGAGCTATTCTCTTTTGCCTGCCTTTTAATTACATAAAGAAAAAGGACTGAGGATTGCTGGAGAGAGGGGGAGAAAAATGACTTGTTCTGCTTAAGAACTTGCTTTCAAAAGACTGAATGAATGGCTCAGGGGATAATGAAGACTTCTATGCCTCTGGCTCAAATCTGAGGTGATTGAAGATCTTTGCTCTTTTATTACCTATGTGGGCTATAGCAATATCTAGGGATTAATCAAAATTGACAAAGATATAGTAAGAACTATATAAATAGGGAGTTGCAGACAGTCTTTGACCTAAGAAAATTAGAATTTAAACATACACACCAGATACAGGAGAACAGGATATTATCAAGATGTTTGAAAGTGTATGCAATGTTGGCTGCACTTTCAGTGCTTTAATGCCCAGTTAGACCATCCTGGACCAAAGTGAAGATTTTCAAAAGTATACAGAGGTGTATGAATTACGAATGTATTGAGAAGGCTCACCTCAAATGACCAACTCTGCAGGCTGATATACAGAGTTTCCATTTCTGCTGCAACATCCTGTTGAAAAAAATGTTAAATTATTATGCCGTTCAAGCAACAATAATAACCTAAATAACTATATGTGTCTGATCAAAAAAAGCAGAAACCAGCTCTTATGAGGACTTTTTTTGGCAGACATCAAAGCAGTTAAGTTGAAAGTATGTAAGACACCATATTCCTGCTGTGGAGAGAAGGTAGGCAGCAGATGGAATTCAAGGCATGAAATAAACGACAGGAATTAATTAGAGGAACAGAATAACTCAGAATTAGACTAGTAGGACAGAATTCATCTAGAGCAAGACTGATCATATTATCAGTATTATCAGAAATCTAATAACTTCAGGCATAGCGAAACAGAACAGGAAATGCATAAACTCAAATAAGTGTAATTTCTGCACTAATGCTCCATTGATCTTTGGATGCATTAAGCTCTCCCTTTTAATCACAGAAATTGCAGAATGGCTGAAGTGGGAAGGGACACCAGCTCCCAGCCCTGCTCACACAGGGACACCCAAAGCAGGCTGCCCAGGTTGATGTCCACATGGCTTCTGAAGATCTCCAAGGAGGATACTCCAGAGTTTCTTTGGGCAAGCTGTGCCAGTGCTCTGTCATCCACACAGTAAAGATGTGCTTCCCGAAGCTTAGATGGAAAAAGCTGGAGTGGTGTGGAAGTACAGGCAGCAATTTAGGATAGGGAATGCTGTGCAGAAGTCACTTATGCAAGGACCAATACTGGATTTCTGTTCTCAGGGAGGTTTATGGACCTTTAATGTCATCATATTCAGATATTAATGCTCTATGAAGTCAAATTCTAGTCACTATAGTCTGCTAGGTGTTAACATATGATGCCGTAATGCATTATGAGTTAAATTCCTCTTTGATCTGCAATACAAAAACCTCCATCTCTCAGTAATGTCAGAATTTGATCTCACAGGAAAAATTAAGAACAGATTAGCTAAAACCTAAAACAAGTAAATAATGTCCTTTGGGGAATCATATCTGGCAGTTTACTAAGGAAATTCAAAAGTATAAATATTTACATTAGGAGGTACACAGACTTCTCGTAATATTATATAGCTGATTCCAATTTGGAATACATGCTGTTTTGCTTAAGTTTATTCCATCTGCTTTTGAAATCTGACCCATACCCCACATATAAACTTCATTATTTGCTCATCCTTTCTGTCCCTATCCCTGCTGTGTTTTTTTTTTTTCTTTTTTCTTTTTTTTTTTTTTCTCTCTCTCTTGGGTTTGTCTTTTATTGGGAATTCCATGTGCTTTTAAATTTTACCAAAGATGCTTTGATGAAAAGCTGTGAATAAAAAAAAAAGGCAGAATCCTAGATTGGTATTTACAAAATAGTTTCAACAGTTTCAAGCTGCATATTTATATATGAATATAGAATATAATTTTACTATTATTTAATAGGATTACTGGACAATTTAGAAATGCTAGTGAAAACCAGGGATAAAACCCTCTTTGTAGAATTTACAGTCTGAATAGTCAAAATAGACAGAGCGGAAGAAAAAACACCAAGCTTTCGTGCCAGACCTGGACTTTAAAGCTTTTCTACCTCACTCTTTTCCAGCATCTCAAAAGTAACTTGCAATTTCAGTAACACAGAAGGTTTTATACCCATCAGTAAAAAAATGTGTAATATGCAGGGCCGAAAGAATGAAGCCATTGTCAGCACAGTGTGACACATCTGCACTGGGGGTTTGCAATAGCGTTAGTGCACCAGGGCCCCTGCACTAGTGCAAAGAAGATCCTAATTAAAGCAATCTGTACAGCTCAAACTAGGGCTGGGCAGGCCCCAGACTATGCAGAGATTCCCAACAGCTTTTAAGCATGCAGATGCTGTCTGGGTCTTGCTGAATGAGCCCCATTCAGACATGTCTACCCTGTGTCTGCCCCTCTCATATAGTCAGGTTCCTGCAATGGTTTATCGCTTCCCATTTCCAAAGCAGAAGTAGGTTTATAATAAATTATTTGAAACTGACTTCTATCAGATCAGAAGAAGTTAACTTGGAGAAGAAGTTAGCTTGGAGCCCAGATTTCATCCAAAATATTTTGTCCTCCTTTATAAGGCTGTATCACAAGTTTCCAGTTCACAGTCTGAGAACCTGAGTCGTTCACAGATGGATTCTCCTGAATCAATGCTTGATTATGCGAGGTAGGTGAAAATTGGAAAGAAAAAAAAAAAAAAAAAAAAAAAGAGAAGTTGGTCTCGCTAAATAGTCTAAGGATGGGCATACAATGACATTCATCCTTGGTTCACTGGAAACTGGGAAACTAAGGGCACAGGATCAGTTCCAAATCTAACTTCACTGTTGGTAATAATTGGAGTGATAATGTGGTATATTACACTGGAGGCCATGGATTAAACAGATAAACAGCAGAAAGTATACTTACAGTAGAGAGTTATAGTTACTTCTAGTGCTTGATACTTTTCTGAAGAGAACATGCTGATGCTAAGCAGTACTAGAAAACATCTCATTCCTAATCTCTACAAGAAAATAACAAACCCCAGCAGCACTAAAATTCCTTGAAAAAAAAATCACTTTTTACTAGCTTTGCATAGAAATATTCAATGTCAGACCCAGGTGAAAATACACTCCAGGGTCAACATTTTGTTAGCTTTACTCAGTCTTAATGTACATAAGTTTTAAGGAGATGCATGGACTACTGGAAATGCCTTGAAAATGCATAGCCCTAATAGGTTTGAATCAGGCCTCTATCTGAAGACCAGACATATAATCAAAGTAGCAATGCTTTAACTAGGCATTAAGAAATAAAAAATGTGCCCTTGTCTTGGCCTCATCTTATTTGAAAGTAATTTAACTGTTTCATTGGATAGGTCCCTAGATGGTTACCAAAGGATTTAAATAAGGTCATGTTATCCACTGAGGCCCTAAGGGTCAAGGAGTATAAGTAAAAACCTCATGATTCTCTTTTAGTCAGTGAACCACTTCACTTTTGCCGATCTATCATCTTACGGGCCAGGCAGCTTCTGTCCCTCAGGTTCTATTTTAAAAAATGGTTTGTGGAGGAAACCACAGCCAGACAACAAAATCGTGAGGATTTACTTTTCAGGGCTGCATTATCATTAAAGTCTACAGAAACCTGCATCTGACAGGAAAGTGGAAGCAAATGGAGGGTCAGAAACATGCAACATGTTAATCCTGCTATTGTTTTCAGAGGAATACATATCTGGATCTTAAAACTGGCTTTATTATTATAGATCCCATAAGGGTCCATACGGGTCCAAATTTCCTAGCCAGTCCAAATCTCTAAATTGAGCCAAAGCTAATACAGATATTTTTGTGTTCTAGGTCATGTCCTATGTATATTCACATACAGAACAGAAAAGGCAGAACAAACTGGTTGTCTCTGTGCACTGGGAATCCTCAACTATTGGAGAGTTTTTCTGCAGAGAATTTAACCTTGTGCCAATTGATGAGCCAAGACTAGAGTCGCAAAACCAGAGAGCTGAATAGGTGGTTTCCAACTAACTACAGTGGTGTGTACAAGACCCCTCTGGACTTCCGCCAGATACAGTTTGGCAATCTGGAGAGCGTGGGCCAAGCTGTACAATGCAGGCCTGTGGTGGTTTAACACCCAAGGCACATGAATACTGCGAGGTTCAAAGGGATGCAGGGAAAAAAAGCATACAAAGCACAAAGCAGTATCTTTCTGTGGCTGCAAGATCTAGACTTAAAAGTTACTGCCTTGTCTCAGGGAATAACCTGCAGGCATAATCAGCTCTGATCTGTTTGTTTTTATCTCCTCCTGGGAACCATTATACGATATTAACAAAATAAATCAATTTTAAATAACTCAGTGTGTATACTCACTACAGAGCAGTTCTTTCTGGCGTACCTCAGGGACGTTATGCAGTCCGCCACCATTATGAATGAATGAATGGGCCTTAGCTGTACTGCAATGGAGTAATTTGTTTTAATAATGTCTGAATATACACTGAGGTAATATTTGTGAAATCCCTAATAGTGTTCTCAGGGTAAAAAATCACATATTAAGGGAACAGTGATTATTTTCATTTAAAGAGCAGTTATGTGCAGAAAAGAGCCTCTAAAAATGACACCAGGAGAGTCATATTTACTCTGGTAAATGGTTTCAGTTCAGACTTGCCTGATGCACAAGTCATAGGTGTTTTCTTTCAAATGGCAGTTACAGAAACTTCACATAGGATTTGAAAGACATCTGCTTTTTATCCCCATACACACAAGGGAGAGCCTGCAACTATATTTAACTGAAGAGTTGGCAGCAAAGAGAGACACCAGATGCCCAGAATCTTCTTAATCCTTTACAAGAGAGCCCTCCCCCTTTTAGAAAAGGAACATTTTGGTTGGAGGTAGGTGGAAGTCATATATGAACTAGAAACATCACAGAAAGAGCACTGTTTTAAGGGTGGGAGTCTCTCTTGGGAGTCTGTTTTCTAATATTAATTCCTTCTACCACTAAAAATGCCAGGATGTTCAAGAAGAGTATTGTAAGGTTTTCAAGAACGCCTTACTGGGGAAGATAAGACATGGATGAATCCAAGGATAAATCCTTTTTGGATAGGATAAAGACACGCCAGTGCCTTTAAGTCAGGTTAAGGACTGAATATTGCATGCTTGTCATTTTTTGATTTTCCACAAGTATCCAGGAATCAATGTCTCCTCTCAGTCAAATATTAAGCTGTTCTGAAGGTATTTCCTATCCTGACTTCTTTCTGCAGAGATTCTACCTGTTTCTTTTTAATTTATGATAGCTCTTCAGAGCATTTAGTTCCAAGACCAAGAGAAAATATTTGTAAAATAACGGCTGAAATTTCATTAACAACACACAAAAATAAATTGCCGTAGGCCAATATTTGAAAGCCTAACTTCCCTATTAATAGCCAACTATTCACTGTCAGTTGATAAAGCTAACCTGCATTTAATTATGGCAGAACATCTTGTTTGGCTACACGGTGTTTCTAATGATAAAAGATTCGCTGCTGAGATTTATGCGGC